TAAAAATTGATTTTTGAGTTAATATTTTAATGTAAATCAAAAATCAAAGATGTCGTTAGATATCGTGATTGTATTTATTGTTCAAATATCTGTTACGATTAACCATTAGTTGATGTTATTGTCATGACAACAGAATGAAAAATTAACTAATTCTATTCTTGATCTTTGAGTCCACAATAAGATCTATTGTGTATGTTTGCATGTAAAAAAAATCTAATTTTTTAAACTGATCAACAAATCCGGTGGTGCTCATTGCTAAGTCTTCCTTATTCCATTCTCTCGATTATTTCTTGATCAATCTTTTTTTTATTATTAAATGACGGATATCCTTTCGTCACACATTGGATGGTCACGTAGTCCTATGCCAGGCGCCTCTCAACAACAAAAACAGCAACAAGACCAACAACAACAAAATTTTCAAAAAAATACACGTCGTGCATTACCAAGATTAAAAAATGATATTTCACCACAATCAACATCGCGTAAAGTAACTTTGTTCCGTAACGGTGATCGTTATTTTGCTGGAAAACAAACTGCTATAGTACCACAAAATTATTCTAATCTTGGACAATTATTACAAGAATTATCAACGACAATCGATTTACCGTATGGTGTAAGACGTTTATTTACACCAAATCGTGGTTCAGAAGTTACAGATGTTAGTGTAATTAAAGATGGTGCTTCATATGTTTGTGCTTCATTTGAACCATTTCAAAAATTAGAATATACTTCTATAGCTGTACCACGTTTAACATTCAACATCGAACAACGTAAGTTATTATTATATATTCTTAACTAATAAGAAAATTTTATTTTTAATTTATTTCAAGTACAGACTGTCATTTCTATTTTTCTACTTCATCGTATAATATTTATTTGTCATTTATCTATTTACATTCTAATAACGATATATCTTGTCATCAATTTTTGAATCTTATGAGATTATTCATATCGTATTAAAATATTCATTAAATATATATAATAAGAAGGATTTCTTTATGTATCGATGCATCTCTAAGTTCTC